AAAGTCTGTCTTCTCTTTATCACAAATAACAGCATGTGGTTGAAAGTGCAAAATAGGCAGAGCTTATTGCTCCACATGACTCCAAAAAGGGTCAAGAGCAATCACAGAGGCTTACTAAATGGCCCATAATGTGATCTGAAGCCCATGCTTACTTTTGGCATCACTCTCCTTGTTCTTTCCACTTTTTTTTTTTTTTTTTCTCCACAACATCAGCTAACGGCAATTTTCCTGTACTAAGTGAGGTACTTGGAACCCAGTTCAGCTAGCATAAAGCCATTCCTTTCAGGAAGGGTGTGTCAATATCAAAGGGGGCCTTTGGCCAGTGTGCACAGAAGGTGTGATGCACTTGACATTCTGTTCCCTTTGGAGGATGGAGTGACAGTGGCCTCACCAGAGCCCTCCAAAGCTGTTTAGAGGACTTGCACACTCAAGTCACTCTGATACCTGCCTATTGACCTAGATGTTCTGCCATAGTGGAGATTGAAAATAGCTGCTCCACAGGACTGTTTCCTGGAGAAGGCCATTGAAGGCCATCTGTGCACAGAGGTCCTCATCTGGGGAACCTCCTCCCACCCAGCACTGAAGGGAAACAAGTTCCAACAGGCTACAGTACATCCTAGATCCTTTACCTGTGCAACTAAGCTTTCCTCTAAGGCTAAATAAACACAAACCTAACAAGAACGCTTTATTTTAGCTACTGAGTTCCTATAGCAAATTTTGCTGAATTATTACGGATGTATAAAATAATACAACAGGAATTAGAAGTTCAGCTTGTATCTTCTAATTCGCAGGTGAAGTGCTGCATAACATTCTAATGACCGTTATTTATTTTACTGAAATAATTTAGGAACCAATACATTTACTTCCTAATGAAAAAAAAAAAAAGTGAAAAAGTGAGGATAAAGAAAAAGTTTGGATTCTATTTGTTTTCCTACATATTAAAGAATGGAAAGCTTTTGCATTTCCCTGCCTTGTTGAATTCCAAGAGGAAGGAGACTAGAGGGAGAGATGAAGTAATAATATTCAGAACAGTTATTAGAACAGCAGGCAAATGGAACAGTTTGAAGCAAGAATGGAAACTCATTCAGCAGAATCTCCAAGTTCAGCAGATTTCTAGGACAGYGACATCATGAAACCATCATGTTTGTTCCAAAATTTCAAACTATAGTAGTAATATATACTGCAAATGGGAAGACCCAAAGAAAAGTATTATGGGAAGCAGAAGGTGAGTCACAAAAGCCATCTCATTAATCAAGTGAGTGGATGTTGTCAGAAGAGAATGGAAATAAAATCACTCTATGAAACAGAAGAATTTTAAAAAATGATTTAGCTTTATACATTATTTATGGTCCTAAAACCCTTCAGTGACATTCAGTTGTAGTAAAGAGCTCAACTTTCGTCATGCAGCTCCTTATGCTGTAACTGAAGACCATAATCACCACTCTTACCCTCACATTGTGGCTATTTTTTATATGCAGTCATTATAGCGTATTTCATTTATATACAGTGTATATATGTATTTTATTCTCATCTGATTCTCTTTTTAAAATAGAGTGGTAACAGAAATCATTCCTCCAGTTAGTGACTCACCAATCCTCAAGTCCACAGTTTTTTTCCACTAATTTTAAATGATTTCAAGTTGCGGGAGAACAAGAAGATATTGACTGCAAATCTCTTTTAGCTACACTGTCTCTCTGTGTGACAAACTATCTATTAACTTATCACTAGAATTATCTTCTAAGAAACGAAAGACATCTATATAATCTATTTATTCTATTTAAGGTAAGTGGTGGTTAACTCATGCTCCTGGGAAGTCTTCACATGTCCCCAGGATCCGTAGCACGCTGCTCTGAGCCCTTTGGGCAGCACTGTAATTTCTGTAGGAGTGGTGTGGCACACTTAACCATGCACCCATCCAGGGGCACGCAAAACCACCTGGTCTTTGTGAGCGCAGGAGGCACTTACCTCTCAGCACTGCTTCTTGGGAAGACCTTCTGGCACTCCTTATAGCCCCCACAGGAATCCCACTCCGAGGGCAGGGTCTCACCATCCTAGCTGGCCCGAGGACCAAAAATGCACTTTCTGCCCTTCTTCTCCTCCGCAGCATCCCTTAAGGATCAGCATGCAGATGTGGCCCCTGTGGCCCGTGCTCTGGGTGTTCCTGCTTGAGCAAGAGGGTTGGACTAGACCATCTCTAGAGGTCCCTCCCAACCTTAACCAGTCTGGGATTCTGTGATTTCCACCTGTGCTGCCCCAACCTGGCAAATTCTTTGTTCAAGAGACACCTCCGAAGGAGGTGTTTGCCTTTCACACCCTCCTCCTTCGTTACTGCCCTGGGCTGCCCACATGCACCTCCCATGAGACCTGGCTCCCTGGTCCAAACCCCCCTCAACTCCCCAGACCCTTCTCCTTCTGTTTTGAGAACAAATGTTCTAGTGCAGTGTATACTTGATGCACTTAAACGCAGTGTGCTCTTAGGAAGCCCAAATTGATGCCTTTCCTTCACCTGGAAGGTGCAAGTATTGTATTAAGTACTGTGAATAGGAAAACAGAACGGGAGAAAATATAGAAAAAAAAAATCTTTTTTTTTCTTTAATTTTTATTTTTTTTTTTTAAGAAAGGCAGTGTCTGAAAAGCCAAAGTGCTAGCAGTTCACATCCCACTTCCCAGCAATCAAACCTGGAGAGCCTATTTCCAAGCTTAGGATTTGGAAAAATTAGTCATTGTGTTGTATTGTGAAGCCATTAACTATGCATATACAAAGAGATATAATACACACTAGAAATTTCATTTTACAGTCAAGATTATGATTAAGACTGGACAAAAGCAAACAGTCAAGTAGCACAAACATCCCCATATTAATTTATACATTGATAAAGTTAACACTTTTGTGCTTTTTTTTTTTTTTTAATATGATCCCCTTTAGAAGGCATAATATTCCTTAAATGAACTAACACAAGTTCTCAAGTTATCTCAGGACAGTTATTTCAAAAGACAATGCAATATTTTATAGTGAACACTTATAATCAGGCTTTTAACAAAGTAATTCATTATATAAACAAATGAATCAGTCAAACACTAAATAAATATCTGCAATGGTAAATACTAGCATTTTGTTTATATCACTTAGGACCTGATCCTGCAAGCCCATTGTATACAGTTTCATCCCCATTGAAAAACTGGTCTCATTTATTCTATTCTACTATTCTAATTTGAGCTGAACAAATACTTTCTGCCTATGAAGCGAAGTCAGTGCAATTAGCACTGGAATACACCCAAACATGTAATGATTTCCTTAAATATGCTTGTAAATCATTATTTTTATTCATGTTTATGGAATCATCACAAACATTTGTCAGTGAGTATTCATTTTCTGATATTTGCAATCTGAGTTGCATCAATGAGTTGAGATTGATCAGATAAATCATATGTTCCTTGTTCTTGGCTCTCTGAGTGAACAAAACATGAGCTTTTCTAACAAAATTGCAAATTGCAAATTTAAAGAGAGATTTCTGAGGATTTGTTGGGTAAGCAATATTGCAATTTACTTTCCCCAACATTTCAGTTAAGAGTGCTGGTCTGACAAGGCAAGWGCTCCCAGAAAAACATGAGAGGAGGACAGATAGCCTTGAATTATGCCTGTTAGGCCCATATCACCTCCTCCTCTACCATAACTACCCCCATCTCCAGGGCATTGAGAATAGCTTTTTCCTGAAGCACACCAGAGGTGTCAGAAGAGCCATTGGTGTCACAAGAGATGACACCCTTCCAATCAGATCATCTGCCTCAGTTCCTGCCTGCAGTCCACATTGACCTTAGCAACAGAAGCATGTACTATGGAAAAGGGGTGTTTAAATCACCCTGACTCCAATCCCTTGCAGTTAAAACGTGCCAGGATATAAGAGGCTGGCACGTTAATTTTGTTTATTCCTTTTTTACAGTGATGACTTTTTCCCTGCATGATAAATCCAAAAATGAGAGCCAAAGAAAAGAGGTTTTAACTGACCTGTGCATCCTCACGGATGCCTTAGGAAATTCAAATGGTTATCGACATACAGCAACTGTACCAGTGAAGGCTACTGACTTGGTTGGTTTTGGAAAGTAAACACAAAAGAGGCCAGCCATAGCCAAAAGCATTATTTAAGCATATCACAACTTAAATTCTGAAGTTACTTAATTTATTTGCCCACTTCAATTTGAAATATAATTTAAAATCAAAAGTACGTAAGTTCTTGGATGGACCGCCTGTATCAAACTAAGTTTGACTGCATTCTGATGGTTTCTGGGACTCCTTGGAGCTCTCACCACATGAAACCACGAAATGTTCCAAGCATGAAGGGAAAAGAATAGCAATGGTTGTAAGAAAACTCCACCTGAACTGAAAAAAGGAACACCTTTTAAAATTATTATATATATATATATTTATATAATATATAGGGATATATACACGCATCCACACATACATACCTATATATATATATATATCCCCATATAAATATCTCTCTAAAATACAAAAAATGATATTATTTCTTATGTTGGTATCATTTTAAATACTTTACTCCATAAATCCATAACATGACAACTTCAGGCTGTTCAGAGAGATAAATCTTAATACAGTCCTACAACCTTCACTAATATAAATATAATGGCAAGAAACTTTGACCAGCAATAGTAGATTTTCAAACTTAAATAATTATTTTACAATTATTTTAAATTTTAACAAATAGTTGTCCAATGTTGTCCAATATTCATGGACAACATAAAGATGCAGCTTTAACTTCCAACACTCGATCTCAAGTACAGCTTTAAGAAAGGAATGTAAAAGGAAACTATATATTAGACACTAAGAAGAGTAACTTCTCATTCTAGGTATCTGAAAAAAAGAATACTGCATGTCTGCACTTAAATAACCATGTTTTGCCTTAGTTTCTTCTTGCCAGCAAATGAAGGACATCGGTTCACAAAGCTTCTAAAGTGTACATGAGTTTTTGATTAAATCCTGTTCCTTGTGAAAATAAAGTTCATTCACACTTTGAGTGAACAAAATGAGGAGCTCGATATTATAATAAGACATTTAAGGACCTTGGTAGCCAGTACCAGTTGCATTTGTAAGTGACTCCTCAGTTTTCTTTTTTCAAAAAATAAAGGTACAATCATAGTTATTCATTTACTTTAAAAATTCTAAAGATGAAGAAAAGTAGTGTTTATATATATAAGTCCTCATATAAATTATAAAACTCAAGTTTATGTTACAGAGTTCCTTCCCCAGAGGAAGCATAAAGCACTTTTGTGGTACCTTCACCAGTAAATATTTGTATCGCATTAAGTCTGAGAAACACAACGAAGATGATATTGCATCCTGAAGCCCAAAGAGAACATTCTTCTGATGCAGTCTCTTGTGAGGGATGGGCTCCATAGGGTCACATGATTGCCATGACTTAAGTGAATTTCAACTAAAAGAAACATGAAAGGTGGTACCTAACCAGTTCAATTGGARTAAGCAAAATCAGCGAACAGCAGACTCGTCCTGTTTGAGGTCAACAGTCTTTGGAAGACAACGAGGAGGGAGTTTAAAAATAAAAATGACAAAAAAAAAAAATAATATTAATGAGGTAAACTCCCCTAAAAAGGCAAAATGGGCCAGGATGTCAGGAGAGAGTTCGATTGTACCGGACACCCAAATGTTTCTCTAGCCAGAGTTCAGCGAGCTGCATGGTAGAGGCAAAAGTACTTGCTTTGGACCCTAAGCACATTTTATATTGTTTTGGATCTAAATTGGGATCACACTGAACTGGATGAAAAATATGTACAACTCCTACTTCTTGACTTCTAAAAGCCTTCAAACCAGACGTTATCACTTTAGTAAAGAGGTCTACGTCCTCAAGTCCCCAGCCTTGAATTGAGGTATCAAATCCACCAGCAGTCAGCAGATCACTTTTGTAAATACAGGTGATTCCATATCCATATTCTCTCCAAAATCCAGTTCTTTTTGTGAAAACAAAGCTACTGTCATCTGGAGGGCTGTCTCCATATACTACTTTTGGATCATATTGGCTAAAGATGATAGGGTAGTAAACCTGTTCTCCCTGAATAGTGTTATCTCTGCATCGCTGGAGAAAGTCTGGTGTGAATATCAGATCAACATCACAGAAGAGGAGCAAAGTGTCATTGTCAAACCGAGATGAGGCCATTTCAAGGCCTAAACCTCTAGAAAATTCTCCTGCCATAGGAATCAAGGTCATATCTGCCTTGGGATACTTATAGCTATATTCTCTCAGCAGCTCTATGTGTTTACTGGAGTCTTGGCTAGACTCTGAACCAAAGAGAATTATTGCCAGCTTCACATTCTGCCCAGGAATCAGGCAAGTCTTCTCAAAGTTATCCATAAATCTTGAGAAAATTTCATATCTTCCTATGAGAGGCACAAGAATATGTATTTTCTTGTCACTGAATCCCACAACATCTTTGGTGCCTTGGAATGATGAAAAAATCTTCAATGAATTTGAAAGAAAGGAGAAAGATTGAGTGTTGGTGTTGGTATCCTCCAGTAGGCTTCTTACATCAAGCTCCTCTGCTTCTTTGAAGAAAGGTTTGCTGAACAACTGCTGAAGGTAAGCGTGACGTCTCACTGGAACTGTAACTTTCCTTCCTTTGTGCCTCTTGTACAAAAGTAGTAAGTCCAGGATGTACTCCACACCATGCATAGGGTCCACCCTGCGGTAGCCGTATTGTATTTCCTTGAAGTCAATGAGCCTTCCTCTAGACTTGGAGTTCTCGTTGATCATTTCCATGACTTGCAGGACTGTGTCATCCAGCGCGGCCCGCAGGACACTGCTCAGGCTCTGCCGGGGTGGCTGGTTCTCCGCTATTGAGTAGAGAAGCTTTCCTGTCAGGAAGTCCCACTCGATGACTTCAGCCCTGTTGCGCGGCTGGAAGCGATTGAAAGATGGCATCACTCCCAGGCGCTCGTCTTCCTTATTTACTTGGCTGTTACTGAGCTTGCTCATCAGGGCACTTTCCCTGTGGAGCTGGATGGTCCGATACCGTAGCTCTGAAATTTTGCGGCTCAGGATGTAGTTGTGCAGCCTGTACTGGTAAGCTGGTCTTTTGTTTGGATGAAGTGTTATGGCTGTATGAATTTTGCTGTTGTGAAGATCTTGAATGTAACCCTTCCGGTTGTGTTCATAATTTTCATGGAACAACTGCTGCATCTGGAAAGACAGAGAGGAAAAAAGACATTAAGTGAAGGTGCTTCTRCCCACAAAAGGGCTCCTGTTAGTACTACTAATAATTACCAAATTTTAGATACATCAAGTTCTTCTGGGGCACAGAATTTTCAAACGTTCAAGAAGAAATTAATCACTGTATACCTCCCTTTAAGTACTGCCCACGGTGAGCAAATACTGTTGTCTAAATAAATACAGGGGCAGACAGCTTGACCATATTGACTAAACCAAAGAACCAGCAAAACTAAACCAAATACTTAGTAACTAACATATTTATGATGATGAAGGCTGAATGCACCGCTGTGCACGAAACACATGAAAAGTCTCCAGCTACATCTAAAACCTTATTAGTACAGATCACTATTGAAAGCTTAGCAGCATAGAGGATTGTTTCTTAAAGAGGGTCGTGGATTTATGTCTGAGGAGAGCAAAGCTGCTTTTATTTTCTACAGTGATACGCAAATGGACTGTGCTCCTTAATGTTGATTAAGCAAATGGATGTCATTTCAATAAAACTGCTGCGGATTTTTTATTCTTTTTTTTCTTTTGTTCCACAGAGACAAAAAACTATGTGACTGAAATTCAATTGTTGTTGGCCAATCACGTGTGTTGGCCAATGATACATGTACAACAGCACATCAAATATATGTCATGCTGGTATAATATACCSTAAGTAATTTACAATTTATTTCTGAGACCAGCAAGGACTTCCTACTTCTGTGCAATTACTAGCTCCAACATCTACAAAACAGTGAAGATACACAATCTAAAGCTAAAACACAGGTCCAAGATTTACACTACCTGGCCTGTATACCTTTATCTATAAATAGCTTCATCATAAAATTATATGTATATTTTCAGATATATTTATCGGATATATTTATGTTTATAAATATATTTACATTTCATTTATAAAAATGAAATATATTTATTTTTACAGATAAATATATCTGTATATTAGTTTATTATTCACTTCCGTGAATACTTAAACAGGTTGCACCAGGGAGGAGTAAAATATTAACTTCATAAATACATTTAAAGCCCACAGTGCTTTGTTAAGTTAACACCTACTAACTCCACAGCAACAGAACCATCTTTCCACAAGTGACATACAAAGGAGATGAGGCTCGTTTTTTTTTATCCCAAACCATACATATCTGTAATTAATACATAAGGAAAATGTGCTAATTAGGTAGAAAATGTTGTTSAAAGTGGTGGTGTAAGTTCATGTTATAATCAGATTTTCAGACTTGCATAGAAGATYGTCTTTTAGATGTCTTGATCTATACCTAATCATCTTCATCGCTGAGCTGATCAAGAAAGGTAGCATCTGATAACACAGTTATCTCAGACTCCAAATGGTTACCCCATTTTACTGCATTTCTTTCTGGAGCAGAGGCATAGATACTAGATATTAGAGGTAACTTTAAACCTAGACTAATATATGTAAAATAATGTAAAATAACTTGCAGCAAAGTTAAGATTCATAGCAATAGCTATTGCATTAGCATTTACAGGAAATATATACTGCCACATTCAGTAAAGCGAAGCTTTAATGCATAATTTCAAGAATCTCCCCTCTGCTTGGTCCCAAAATTATGATGCTTGAACACATACAGCTATTATGATTAGTCATCTTACTTTTTTTAGGCTAATATCATAATATGGAGAAAAGACTATTTCAGAAAAATGACTAAGGCTATGTTAAAATTGCCTGTAGTATACAAGGTATCTCAGACAAAGTACAGTAATAATATATGTATGTATGTACGTATGTATGTATGTATGTATATTTGTGTACTGTAGTTGTAAAAAGACTCGAATACTCTGCATTCACAGAAAACGTCTGTCAGAAGCTCTCCAAACACGTGTCCTGCCTGTGGTCTTGTCACTGGGATAAGAAGTGGAAACTTGACAATTTTGACCATTTCCTCACTGCCACGGAGAACTGACACCAACAGGGCCGTCAGGCTTCACCAGCAAAGCTGACAAAATTGAAATTTTGGCTTCTCTGGGGTCGAGATGTGGGCACTGGCTGCAGGAGGAATCACGGACTGGATCCTGATCTCAGGAAAAGACATTCCCTCTTCTCCCCCACCATGATTCATATTTTGAATCATAAGAAAACATTAGCAGATCAGCTGAGATTCCTACCTCTCCGATTATAAGCTTAACTCCTTTTCTTTCCCYTTTCCTTTTGAAGGCTCTCTACTGTGTGCTAAGGAAAGCAACTTTTTTCACACTCTCCTCTCAGACACAAATTCTTAAGGCCCCAACTTCTGCTTCCTTAGCACATTTTAAAGTGGTAGCATTTTATTTATTGTAAAAAKATTGAAAAATTATATTATTTTCTGAACAAAGCTGAACCCATGATTTTCAGGTTTAGAATTACACATGAAAATCCATGCTTAAAGGAGAACTTATCCTATAAATTTCAGAGAGAAAATGTGCTACTAGTTTCACTTCAAAACCCTCTAATCACAAAGAATCACTTMATTTCCCTCCTTTCCATCCCCTAAACGACATTCAATGATATTTGAGTAAAACCCAGATGACGATTACTACATGTGCACCTATAACCTATGGTACTGGCATATTCACACTGTGTTTCTTTTTCAGTAGATAGCTTATTTTACCTCTCTTTTTTTTTTTTAACAGATGACAAATGCACTGTAAAGCTAAAAGCTGTCCTTCTGTCATGCTCATTTTTCCACAACCCTGGAATTACTACAAGCACAGCTTCGCAACAGATTCATTAGCAGCACTCATTTCATAGGAATATTCTATTAACATAAATAGTGCATTTCTATTACATTCCCATTTCAGACGCTTTGGTTTATTAGATATGCTCCAGTGAAATCATAGCAAGAGAATGTACTCCACTATACTAGTGATTTAGCATGTGATAATCAACAGTATATTAACAGCAGTCATGAAAATAATTTTGAATCAGGTTGTTAATACACTATTATCATGTATATACAAACCAGTATTTGTTTGCTTTCAGTGCTGCCGCTAAACAATTTTCATACATGCCAATATTGAGAAAACAGTTTCTAAAATATACATAAGTGAAACTGTAAACTCTATTTTGGAAAATCATGCACAAGTTTCTTACTGCTTTGTCTGCACTTAATAATATAATGGGCTCTTGGTACTTGCTTGAATTCCCACAYGCTATTATAATACAGATAAATAAATAAAGGAGAAGGAGAAGAACTTCTGTTCGATGCATTACACTAAATACTAACAGAATACTCAACTGTGAGATTAATTCTCCCCTCATTTAAAAGCAATGATAGAGCAAAATGAAAACTTGCTTGAAAGAACTGGCTCAATTCATTGTGCTTAAACAAATTTCATTCTTTTTTGAAACATACCTTTTGAACCTCTTCATGAAACACTTTTGATTTGAAAAAATTTCTTTAAACTTTTTAATTGCAGAACCAAAATCTGCATTAGAATTGGCAAAGTGTTTTGAATTTTTTTTTTTTTTTTTGTCCCGTGGTAAAACAGAAATTTCTTTTTTGTGTTGTTTGGAGAAAAGATTCCTTCTCATCACTCAAAATGGCATCTCAATTAATGCAGGTTTAAGTGTTCCCAACTTCGCTTGATATTTAGAAACACCATAGTCAAGCTTAAGAAGTAAAAGAAAAATATGTTAGGTTTCTTGAAGAAAGTATCTGTGCAAGGGCCTGAAATGCTTAGCACAGTCATAAGTGACCTGGAAAAAGAGGTGATTCAACAAAATTTATTTAATATGAATTAAATTTACTTGGAGTGCTAAAAGGGAAAGCTACCTAAAAAAATCTCATTATTTTGAGTGGCTAGGCAAGAAAACTGCAGATGAAACTTTATGTAGATAAAGTACTTGCAAAGAAGGCAATTCTAATTACCTCTGAACAACCAAGGACTACGAGCTAGCTGCTAGTGCTCTGGTAAGAGAAGTTAGTTGTACAGCAGATAATTTATGCAAACACCACCTTGATCTTCTCAGAAGCTATGATCAGCAATCATCAGAAGTATAGAAGAAATCAGAAACATTACTGCATTACATAAATCCATAGTGCACCCAAACCCTGAACATTTATGCAATGCAGTAGTGTTTCTGATTTCTTCTATACTTATGCTGATGATTGCTTATCAACACTCTCATGATGATTGCTTATCAACACTCTCATTTCCCTTCTGAGAATGAGATTTAGGACTAGAAAGATACAGACCAAGGCAAGGAGATGATCATTGGTATGGACTACAAGCTGACCAAGAAAAGAGATGGAGGCTTTCCAGAGAAAAAGGGAGTTGTCAGACAAGAATCAAGCCAGATATCTGTAAAATCAATAGCATCATAGAGAAGTGGGACAGGAAAAATCACTGTCTTTTTTTACATATGTATAGAACATAAAATCATGTTATCCCCATTCAGAAACAGAAAATGATGCACTATGTATGCTCACTGGCATGTATCAAGTTGAAGGTGCTAAAATTGTATACGGGTTCAATGAAGRATCTGACAGCATAATGGGAGATTTCCATCACCGCTATTTATTACACACAAAGTTCAATCTCCCCCAATCATTGCTGTGCTGCTAATTGCTGCACTGCAGCCTACACTGACGAAAAACTACATAAGCCTCCACTGTTCCTTTAGTCCTCCCTATATTTCTTCTAGTGGTTGCCACAGGAAGAGGTGCCATTGGTGTGACATGGTACAGCTACTATTCATGYACCACAAATCAGTGTACAGGAGAAGTGATTCTGCATTCAAAAAAGGGAACTAGGTGTTTATTTTTCATACTGCATGAATCCATTTTTTTTTTCTGAAGGGTTTGCTCCCTTCTGAGTAATTCTTACAATTCAACTAACACAACAGTTGGCAAGGATTTCTGCTTGCCTCTGCTCCTGTTAGCTGAAACTGAAAGATTGTGAGAAACTTGGATAATCTAATCATGCTCTAAGGAACTATGAACTGCAAGCAAAAGCAG